ATTTAATGTGATGGGTGGGATAATGATTGCTCGCCGTAATCTGGAATAGAAATTAAAAGATCTAATAGTAATCTATTTAAATAAACCACCCCATAATTCAGCTGGAGAGAATAAGGAATAAGAAAAACTAGGAGGAAGGTCATAGATCGTGACCCTGCCGATAACTTCAAAAAAGGCAGCTACAACCAGAATTAAAGTGAAAAAACTTAAGCTTCACCAACCCCTTGATTCACAAAGATGCAAAACTTATTAACGAGATGAGAATGTAATAAGTTACCTACAACAATTTGCAAAGCAGAATGAGAAACAAACGTTACTGGTCTAAATAACATCAAGTACCTATAAAAGATACTCGAAAGGTTTGTAACAGTAAGTGATTCATTATATGCACTAATATTAGGCACGTGCTACACCAACTGTCGACATTAATACTAAAAATAAAGCAACAAAACTTCTACAGGTGTAAGTACAGAAACAATTAAAGCCTGCTGACGAGAGTAAAGCCAAACTCCCAAAAGGTCGTGTAGCCCACATGAAAGACACCTGCAACAAGTCCAACATATTGTTTGCACAACGTGTTTCCAGAACTTACTGTTTTCCAAATTTCGCCAAGAACCGTATTTACATTATCTGGCGCATCCCTTGTTCTCAAACATGTAGTTCACATTAATATGACTAATAATCGACACTGTTTCCGAAGGTGTTCTTAGACATCGAGATTAGTAATTCCTGGAAAAATAAAGTTACTACACTCCATAACCAAGTAAAGAACGCCTTTTGGTGCATATTCGTATTTATTTGTAAATTATCACTTCGCAGAGGCTATGCATATTTTAGTTTCAAGACGTGAGTGAAGTCAAGACTTTATTAAGATGAGTTTATTCTATTAAGAATTACGTAGAAACAACAATATTTGTTATGCCCGGAAGCAAGAACAATATTTACTATCCCTTCACTAACACGCACACAGAAACACGCGGTTAGAGAGACTGAAGCGAAATGACCAGTGCGGGGAGTGTTGTCATTCATTGTCGCTCAGAGTATGAAGCCAGTCTGAATCAACGAAAATGATTTTAATTTATTCGTCCTTGCTTGAAGTACAGCCGTGCTTTTCCTGGGATGTGTTTATAAGTTTTAATTTATCTAGAGCCTCAAGTGAAGAATTAACCCCTTAAGACCACCTGATTTAACAGTCCTTTACTCTCCACTTTTAACTCCTATAAGGTGTATTATTATTATTATTATTATTATTATTATTATTATTATTATTATTATTATTATTATTATTATTATTATATGTATGTACATCTTATTTTGTGGTTTTAATTTTAT